GGGAGATGGTTCCCATTTAACCTAAGCCACACCCCTGCTCAGCTCTGTCATTAATTGCCATCAGTGGAAGAAAGCGTATGCTTGTCGTGCAGATCCGTTTTAGTTGTTGAAGAGCAGCTTTGTTGAGGTTCAAAGGGGAATTTTGAAAGGTAGATTTACGGGTGGACATGGACTCTTTGGGTGTGTGTGTGTGCGTGTGTGTGTGTGACTGTGTGTTTTTTTGGGTGGTAGGGGGTTGTGTCAAGCTGAGTTAGGTGGGCTTGTGTGCCGGGAGATGGGTTCAGGGGTACACGCAGGCAGTATCGGTGGCGAAGGAAGGGGGGTGTGGACCTGGCATTATGCTCTCTAATTCCAGCAGGCCTGGAGGCCTGGAGAGCTAAGAAGGGCCTCACTGTTGCTCTCTGGATCAGCCAGGTATTGCTTACATAAAAAGCAAGTGAAAACAGCTGTAGGGATAATTAGCTTGATTCTCCATTACATGCCATGAGGGCCAATAACTAAAAAATGGAGTTTTGTTTGGGTTAAGGCTGCGCCTCAACCAGGAGGAAGTTGTAAAAGTCAGGCAGAGAAAAGAAAGAAAGAAGGAAAAAAAAGGTAAAAATTGTGGGATGAAAGAATGAGCTCTTGAAGTAATTGTTGCAGAGAAGATATTTTGTTTCTGGGACAACTTGATGTGCAGGTTAGACTTTCAGAATTACCATATAAACTCAAAAAGGGATATTTGCACAGATCAGTAAGAAAATCAGCTCACTTTTTGGGCTGTCCCTCTGTTACACAGAACTTCACTCCCAATTTTTTTTTCCTCTTCCTCATTCCATCTCCTGATATGTTTAAGAGTTCTCTGTGCTGCAGAGAGAGCTGAATAGAGGCCTGAATCTTTGTACTTGTAATTGAATTTGGTGTGTTTCTCCTTTTGTATCTGTGGGAGTTAAAGAATACTAAAACACAAGGAAAATTCAAGCAAAGATGGGATCACTCAAACATTGGTGGTCCCCAAATACAACACTAATCACATTAACAGGCAGTTTCTGTCAGTAGCAGTTAAAAGACAGGACTCACATGAAGACTTTTAGATGTTTATTTCTCGTAACATCAAGAATATGTTAACTTTGATAAAGGACACCAACAACCTATCAATGCATTGTGAGCACAATTTTTAAAATTCCAGTTCTAAAATTTCTCAAGTTTTGTCATTAATAAAAAGTGAATTACTATTAATTAAGCAAATTAATGCATTATATGCATTTGTGCATTTTTCCACTAAAACTATGACCAGCATTTCTGACCCACTTTTTAAACACAATTGTTTAAATTTTTCAGGTGGAGTTAATGAATCTGACTTGAGACAAAGTAATGTTGGTAGCATCCAAAGTTCATCTGGTGTGAAAAGTGTTCACAAATACATCATACATATGCTGATGAAAACAGATTTAGCACATTTTAGTGAGGAAATCTATTTACAGTGACTCCCATTCTTTATCTCAGAAATAATGTGATTTGAATACTTAAACTTAATTTTTGAACACAACAGTGGGGAAACATTACCCAAAGAGATCTATTTAGTGTTGCAATGGCCTGGCTCCACCCTGAGTCTCTACTTGTGGAAAACCAAACTGGTTCTTTTATACTACCAGTTAAGAACTGAAAATAGCACTTTCCCGGGTTAAGCGCTGGAACCACTTTAATGGAAAAATGCCCCATCTTTTACTCAACTTCTGGTTTCCACTCAGAATAATCATCAGAATCTGCAAAGAACACTCTAAATATGTTCATCATTTCTTTTTCCCTAAGCACAAGTTCAACAATTATTAATATGAGAAAGTCTTCACCTCATCTGATCCCACCATCAAGCATGCAGAAAGTGGAGGAGGAGGCGGGAGTAAGACTAGGGCTAAATGGGGAGGAGGAGATAGGAATGGCGATTGGAGTCAAGGGAAGAGAGAGACATTGTATTTTGCCATGTAGTATGCTTCTTTTCTGACTGAAATGTTTCTCACTGTATTAATTATTAAAAAATAAATATGATGCTAGAACAAAAAATGCATATGACATGACCTTCTTGGTTTTATTTCTAACAGACAAGCGACACGTATGCCTGCTGCTGCTAAAATAATGCGTGTTAGTCATAAAACAGTTTTATCAATAACATTCATTGATTGTTCATTGTTGTTGAAAATTTTTCATACAGCACTTTTTGCTTATTAGTCTATTTGCAGCCAGCTGACTGATTCTGCATTCCTCTATGCATCAGACAACCCAGAGAAAATACTGTTCACTTTTTCTGGCATTTCATTAATAGGAGTTTAAAATTTAGAAATGCTATTGTGGAAAGTTTAAGAAGTTTTGAAATGGCACTAAAAAAAGCCTCACACCTTGATGGAGATGAACAGGATTTGTTCTCTCAACACTAATTGTAATTGTAATTCTTAGTTTCTTAGTTTTATTCCACTGGTTTTAAACCCTGCAGGTGTTCACAATTGTATCTTAAAAAGGAACAAATCAATATAATGCCCTCATTGTGTTCTTTAGATCATGTAGCTGCCTTCCTTACTGCTGCCTTTAACACTCAATGGTGCAGAAAATTGTGGATTGTGACCTTTTGGCTACAAAGGCCTTGGTGCTGTTTTGAGATGGCTGCTGGCTCGGAGGGGCTTTGTAAATCTGGCCTGCAGTTTAGTGAAAGTCTACTGAATAATTGAAATACAAAAACAAGGAAATGTTGAAGTTTTGACTTTGATATTGAACTAATGTTTACATTTGCTAGGTAATTTCTGCTATTTTTCACCTTTTAAGCACCTTTTGACTACATGTGCTTCCACAGTCAGCAAACGCCTATTTAACTAACATGAACTGAGCAAAGTGGTAAAGCAAGAAACAAGCCTGATGCACTTGATTGGAGAATTTCAACAACTGAAAGCAACTACCAAAGAAAAGAAGGAAGAGCTATATGAGCTGGACTGAAGATGACATACCGCACATAAACAAGAACAGCAGCAGAAGACAATAGAAAAGAAAAGACCGGATTACTTAGTTTATCTTGAATAGCAAGACCTCAAGTTCTTCAGCAGCAAATGCATTTTGCTGGTATTTAAGAAAAGTTAAAGTAATAAAGCCAACGACTGTAATGATATTGTTATGGCTATTGTGAAAGAAGTAAATTATAGTATTATTAAACCTTTCATCTATCTTTCTAACAGATTCAACTGTTTTTCATAACAAAATGAAAATAGTTGAGGTGTTTCCAGTCCATAAATGTAGTGACAAGCAAATATTAGTGCTACTACAATTTCCAAAAAGTCTAGACTCCTTTCTTAATAAAAACAAAAACTGAATGAGCACCAGGGCGGTTTTCAGAAACACTTAACCTCAAAACTTTAACTGTGATAGAGTTTGTGTAATACATTGTTGCAGCAGTTGACTAGAAATTTAATTTTGTTGAAAAATAAAATATTAAATAAGTGTAAAAGACTTGCATATGATATACTCCTCTTTGGTTAATCCCTGTTTGTCATATTGCTCGGACATTTGGGGAAATGCAAGTAAAACAACAATCGATATATTATAGAAGTTACAAAAATGCTTTATTAGTCTTATTAATAAAGTTGAATCAGCTTAATCCTAGCCTATTCCTTTTTTGGTAAATTATGGATTTGTAAAGTAGTATTTTGTTTTATTTCTGTAATGTTGTTAGTTTACCAAAATAAAGTGAAGCAAAAAAAAAAAGTCTGCCATTTGAGTTGGTAAAATTTTCCGTGTTGTGCTTTTTACTTTCCCAGCTGATATTAAATGCTTTTCTTTGTCACGTGTCTCTCCATGCCTACATAATCAAGTCAAAAATGTCACACGTAACCTCTAAAAAACCCCAAATTTCATATGATTTTAACACTCTGTCACAACATGCTGACATGTAAAATAATCATAGGCCACTAAGCTTATGACCACATGGCAACACACTTCCTCATAAACAACACGAGTGCAGGCGTCACATGTGAGTTTGTGTAGTGAATGCATCTGTTGTGCGGAGGTAGAGAGGTGCTGACAGAAAAGAAAGAGGAGCGGCCTTCAAACACATCCACAGGCAGGTTGGGCTCTGTGTTACGGCCTGTTAGGGGTCACATTTGTTGATTCTTGGGACTCAGAATCATTAATTTAAGGGCAGTCAGTGGCAATGAAACCTGAGAATGGTCACCACACCAAATTCACACACACACACACAGACATATAGCTAGTGACACATACATGCATGGAGTGTGCACATACACACACAAACACTATACGATGTATAACAAATGATGGCACTTTAATTGCTACAACTGTTTATTTACCTCTGCATGTAATGGATGATCCCTCTTTGCCTAGTAGCCAATCAGACCAAAGGAGGAAGAGAGTAGACACATTCCTTACAATTTGAAAGTTATTTTTGGGCACAACAGACATTAGATATATAAGCAATATGGCTTTACAAAGTTCCCTATCTTTGTGCTTAGTTTTATCTGTACATAATTGAAGCTCTTTGCAAACAAAGTTTACTTTAGTTCTTTCACGATAGCCACTGTGAGTGACTGATGATAGCATCTTCAGTGATTGGTAGTTATTTTGGGGACTGTTTGCTCAGCCAATGAGGCGCCCCTAGCAAACTAGACATATATCATTGTTTCACAGCCTTCAGGAAAGAAGTGACTTGTTGCTGACTGCTGTGTCGTCTGAATAACAGAGACACATTCCAATAGTCTCTTTTCCCTGTTTTTTTTTTTTTTTTTTTTAATGAGCATTTAATATTTGGCCAATGCATATAGATCATTCAAATGACTCTCTGGAGAGTCACCATGTTGACAAATGATCAGCTATAGCAAATGGACAACTGTCCACACAAAATAAAGACAAACCACTCTGTTTATCCAACCAAGTACACTGTGAAGAAACTAATTTCTGTTTGAAGTGGGGTTTTTTTGTATTACACTTTTACTAATTCCCTCTTTTCTCAATGTTTCTTTCAACAGATGCATTTGGAATCACAAGATTGATTAGCTTCAGTTCCCAGGACCAGACGATTTGTCTTTGTTTTCGGACCCCATTAATAAAGCACAAAAGTTCATCAGATTGGGCTTTTAAATCTGATGATTATAAATATAAATATTATAAATATCTACGTCACTGATACAGGTCACATTCGTGGACAAATGCAGTGTTTTGCTGGGGACCCAAGCTCCTTGTGGATGAATCTCATACCACAGCTCAATATTGGCAAGTTTGCTCCTGCCTTCAATTTGTGGGCTGTTTTCAATAGATGGAAGCTGGATTCATTTTGCAGTGCTGTGGTGGAACAGAGGCCTGACTTCATGGTAACGAAGAGTCACAACAGTGTTGACGACTGCAAGCAAACTGAAGCCGAGCCAGATACACAAGCCCCAAATCCATACCTGTTCAGGTTTATGTTTCCAGGCTTGTGTTTACTTCTGGAGCTAAATATCAGACTTTTGTAAATATGACAACATGGACCTCAAAATCAACAACCCGCTAAGACCTCCTCAATGTATGGTGCCAAAGGAATTGCCGCAGTCCACTGGGATAAATAAAAAATGATGAAACACCAACTGATTCAACTCCTATTCAAGACTTTCCAACACTGCCCAATTTACTTAACAATCTTAGTGTCTTGCAAAAGTAGTGCCCCTTTGGAACGTAAAACACTTCAGTCATGTTACAACCAAAAACTTAAATGTATATTTTGGGGAATTTTATGGACCAATAAACATTTTTTTTTCTTTTGCTATAATCACAGATGGAAGGCTTTTGGGGAGCTTTTGTGATATTGAATGTCTGGTCTTGCCACAGTCTCACAAATGGATTTAGGTCTGGATTTCTGTAGCGTTAGTTTTCTCGTCCACACAAAACTGTGCATATTGGCTTCAAAATTCTGTTTAATCTCCCTTGACTAAAGCAAATGACATCATATTTGCTCTCCGCTTCTTGGTTTGTGGCAAACACACCACTTTCGGTTGGTTCTTAACATATAATCCCAATAAAAACAATCTAAACTGTGTTTGTAACATGATGAAATGTTAAAAATGTTCAAAGGTTATAAATAATTCTTTTGAGGAAAGGCGTAGTAAATCTACTGCACAGGCACTAAAAAAAGTGAACCTTGATGTTCCCACAGAGAAAATGAGAATTCACTTATACTCAATCAAAAAGTCAGAACCTCAGTTTACAGTGAAGAAAAATGCAATGTTTTTCTCCTTATTAATGTGTTCTGTTTGGTTTACTGCAAATGAAGGATCTGAGTGCCACTCTTATTCTTTTCTTCTTTTTACATCTGCTGTGTGTCTTATACTGAAGAGTGATGTATTTATTGTCTATTTGATTTTGTGAATTTCTGTGACTAATCTAACAACACTGAAGTGACTTCCATTCCAAATAACTAAATTTTTTTCACTGTACTAAAAGTTGATTTGAAGTGACAATAATTGCTGTATTGTTGTGGACTCAGCAGCTTCACAGTGTGTAAATGACTGAATATGTCCAGTGTGTGTGTAGGCGTGTGCATGTGCGTGTGTGCGTGTGTGTGTGTGTGTGGTTTGGACCTGCTCACTCAGTTGTAGTGACTGTGAAAGTCTGGGGGTAACAGTATTCACCCTTGGCTCATTCCACAATGTTTGGCAGCTTTCAGTTTGTTCACGTTGTTTGAATAAAACTTTTAACTTAAGTGGCAACATGTGTTTTTATCAGAATGACATCAGAAGCTTTGTTGGTAAATTTCATCACAAAGTTCAGCATTTTCACAGGATTAAAAATATCGCCGCCTCCAATGGCAGCTACAACAATGGCCTGCTGCACAGGGTGAAAAAAAAAAAAAAGACGAATTCTTCCTAGTTTTCATGGTCTACCAATTCTCTCTCCTTCTCCCTCATAAACTCAGCCAGATGTTGCCCAGTTTTCTTCCTCAGGCAACGTGGGGGGATGGAAGGGGACGTAGTGAGACAGGGAGGTGGAAGAGAGAGGAGGGGCAGGGGGGATCCTGAAATGTGGCTGAGCATGTTTTAAGTGTTCTCTGATGCAGTCATGGCCCCCTAGCATCCAACATGGCTGGAACCAAAACTATGGAGTCATGGAGGTTTGTAAGGACTTTATGCTAAATGTCAAATGCTAATAAAGTTTCTGTTCTGTAGAGATCATTCTCAGGTTATTTGTGTAAAATCAGTTGCTTTTCCAGTGAGCAAATCTGATCATTTTCCCTCACAGCAGCAAAAAGTGGTACTTAATCTTTCCAGCAAATCTATAGTGACAGGTTTTTATCATTACCGTTTGACATGCAACCCTATTTTTGCAAAAAAAAAGAAAAGAAAACTGCATGTGGAGCGTTAATAAAATGCTAAAAGAAATTATGCATTTGGGTAAATTTTGATTTAAAAATGTGTTCATTATTTCTACACTAATTTAAAGAGGCTATATTTAAAATTAGTATTAGCATCTTAAAAAACCATTAAATTCTAGTTTTGTTTTTTTTTAGATGCCTGCAGATCACCTTATTTTGCATTTAGCGCTGTAAAATGCTGTCTGATTACCACCTGAGCTACATCATAAATTGTTTGAACATATCAAAGTTTCTACAGATATTTACTATATCCCATAAAAGTCTTATACAATGCACCTGTGCATGGCATGGAATAAAGTAACTGAGGCATAAATATCACAACAGTGTTGAAATGACATCATGGCATCATGCAGATTTTCAGGCAACCTGGAGACAAGCCATCACTTGCTTTCTGAATAATTTGACAAACAATTATTGAGCAACTGGGAGGCACTCATAAAGCAGTTGACCCTTTAACGTGACAAACAAGACAGCAAAGTTATTTATTAGTAATGTACCTAGTGGTGACACACAAGAACCCCTTTGTATCACTCCATTGTTCTCTGTATACGTTTAACAATGGGAGTGCATGAAAAGCAACAAACATTCATCAAAGCATGACAGAACTTGATGTTTCACAAAATAATTCCATGTCATACATTAAAAAAAACACCAGCATGCATGACAAAATAGAAAATAACTTAAAGAAGTGTAAGTGAACATTTATTCAATTTGTAGCAGCAGATTTTGTTTTTATATTTGTGATACCCAAAAAGAAAAGAAAACAAAAAAAAAACAGATTTGTATTTTTAATGGATTTGTAAAAAAAAATGTGCATCACCTGTCACCACAATGAATGATTATGGTGTTTTGTCATACTTATCAGGTTTTCTTGTGGTTCTGCTGTTAGCAGTGCTTGATAGGTGCCTTCAGGTCATGTGTATTGTTTGGGATTGTGTCTCATCTTCCTTTTGACACTCCTCTATAGAATCTCGATGGGGTCAGGTGGGTTTGCTGGCCAATTTAGCACAATAACACCATTGTCAATAAAACCAGTGATTGGTTGTTTGAGCAGGTGGAAAGTGAAATCAACATGTTTATGAAGCTTAGCAGCAAGAGGTATTCTACCCCTCATCATTTGATACAATATCAATTGAAAATACTCATCCTTCCACCTCCATCTCAGTGAATATTATTAAAAGTAGTTTTATTTCAGTAATTTAATTCAAGAAATTTAATTTATTGGATATTGAAAGCCAAATGTTTGTTTCTAATGAAAATTAGAATATGGTATAGTGACAACAACAAAAATAAATAAATAAAAAGATCTGTAATAAAGAAATGCTGTGGTATGATCTGCATCATGCAGATGTAAAGGGGCTGTGGCTTACAGACATTCAGAAGACTTGACCCACTTGTCCCTGAGACAAGCATTGGCACAATAGTCAAGAAAGCAACACCACAGAAGATAAATAGTAAGAAATTAAGCTGTTAACAGTGTGTTATGTTCAAACAAGAAAAGGTTAGAGAAATAATAACAGATGGTAGAAAAATATACACAAGCAACAGCGATAACTGCAGCCTTGAGAAGTTTCTGAAACAAACCCAGTATATGCAGTTTGGAAAGATTCACAAAGTGTGAACTATGAATGGACTAAGTGCATTGAGATGCACTACACTCAGACAAGGGTCTGACTAAATCATTTTTTTTAAGTGAAAGACAATGCTGCATTTAATTTGGGAGTTTAAAGTGCCAGAGTCTGGAGGAGAAGAGGAGCAGCAGAACATCTCAGCTGCCTGAAAACCAGTATGAAGATTTCACAGTCAGTGGTGATTTGGGGAGCTGTGAGATCTCCTGATGTTGGTCCACTGTGTTTTATCAAGTCCAAAGTAAGCACCGCCAACTCCACTCATCCAAACTTAACAGAGATTCTGCTGAGTATTGTTAAATGTAGACATAAAACCTAACAGTGCAGACAAGCACAAGGCTACTATTAGAACAACTTGAGCTACAAACTTGCATTTTTCAATTAACATTTTTTTTATATGCATAACATTTTGAATTTTACAAGAAACTGAAATTTTGGATTTTCATCGTCTGTAAACCGTGTTCATAAAAAAAAAAAAAAAAAAGAATAAATGTTTGACGTATTAGTGTAATGAGTTTCAAATTTCTTTTATTATTATTTAGAGAAATAAATTAACTTTCAACAATACTGTTATTTATTCAGATGCACCTGCATGTCACCTAAAATAAAGTGTTGGTATACAGACAGACACGAACACTGTATGGTGTCTGTGTAACCCAGAAGAAAACATCTCTGTACATTTCAAAAACTTCACAGAAACAAAACTATTATGAAAATTACTTTTCATATTAAACATGAGAATCCTGTGGACAAAGACTCAGAGATAACCACAGACATGATGATATCCAAAAAATGGAGATTAAATACTGAGAAACTAATGGACAATAATATCCAATAAATGCAGGTTGTTGTATCTCTTTTTTCTCTCTCTCTCTTTCCATATGGAATCCTTTTCGGGTGGAATTTGCATCAGAGGTGCCTTCAGCGAGCTCAGCCGATTCGTAGACTTCCTGTGTGAAACTATTACCCACTTTGCCCCAAACTGTCGGCGTCGGCCTGATTGAAAAATATTGAGCCTGTTTTCAGATAGAGTGCCATAAAAAAAATATTAATTAGGCCTACCGCAAGGACCGTAAAGCACGCAGGCCTTCAGGTGATTAGATCGGCTTGTGTAAGCAGCGCGCGGTGTGGATCTACTTGTCTTGATTGTGTTGGAGCGGTAACCTGATATGCAGCCGGTGAAAATCTCCGACTGTGCCCTGGTATGGATGGGCTAATAGCCGCGGGCGCTTTATAAGTTTATTTTAGGTAATAGAGACGCTTGTTTTGTTACAGCCTTTTCCGCCCACCTTTCTGTTCCCCCCCCCCTCCCTCGTTCTCTCTCTGCCCACCCTCCCTGCGAAACTTTACCTTTGCTGAAATTCTTTGCCTCTTAAAACGCTAGTCGTTGGAAGAAAGCGATAGGTATAGATGTGAAGCGCATGCGCTTTGAAAAATTTCTTTCTTTCTTTTTTTTTTGTGGAGCAGCGCATCCGTGCAAGTACGGGAGAGGAGGCGACTTTAGCAGGTGAGAGAGAGAAGCGAACAGGGGGAGAGAGAGCAGGGGAGAGGGAGGGCTAGTTTTTCTGCACTTGAACGTAACCAGACGCACACATAGAGCGTGGGAGCACAAAGCACACGGAGCCGGCTGAAGACGCCGCTGTTTTCACACGCTCTGTCCTCTTGGCACCGCGCGCTCTCCCTCGCCAAGCCGCAGCGTTTGGAAGACAGGGGAAAGTTGTCTCTCTTTCTTTGGAGCATACAGCCTGGATTCGACTTTTGTTCGGTTTTTGTCTTTTTCTTTTTTAACTTGTTCAGCGGTGGACTTCATATTAAATTTTTTTTCTCGTGTGCACACTTTTGACTCAGGCTGAGGGAATTATCAGAGCACTGCAGAATGGAAGGTAAATTGACAAGTCGTGTGTGGCGAGGATCACCGTGTGGATCTTTCTGCAGGTAAAGAGCGCTATGACTTGAGCGGCTGAAGCAGCTGGATCCCATGTGCATGAAATGTTTTTGTTTTTCTTCTTCTTTTCGATTGTAGTTTTTTGCTTTTTTTGGTTCTGATGTAGATGAGGTTTAATTAGCGAGTGGCTTCACTCCAGTTTGATTCAGACGTTAATCGACAAAAGTAGGACGACATACTACGGTCTTATCAGTAGCACTTTGGCTTTTATTTAGTAATTTCTGCCGCATAATTTACGCACTGTAAAAGGAACTAATTTCCTTTCACTGTCTTATATATATATAGTGATACTATTTTTTTCCTTTTTTTTTTTGTGCATTGAGCTGTTTTCACCAGACCTTTAAGCTGCTATAAGCGCACGGGACGCTTTTTATTAGATACACTTGTGGGGCGATCCTGCACACTAAAAACTCGAAAACAGAAGAACTCTCGGCCTCATCAAGCACTTTTCCAAGAGATCCGGATACAAAAAAAAAAAAAAAAAAAAAGAAAAAAAAAGAAAGAAAGCAAAGTTTTGTCTTCAGTAATCCGAAATCTACCTGGCCAGATCTGGGATTATTTCATCGATAACGTCTGCAGAGCGTGGATTGCTACTTCCAAAGCGCTGTTCTCCCTGGTGAGTATGTCATGTCCCGCTTGACTCAATTTTATTATTATTATTTATTTTATTTTTTTTTCAAGACGAGCCGGTGTTTATGTTTTAATCGCTGGGATCAGGGGAAAGCGTTTGGTTCTTGAACGAGAATGTGGATGTAAGTTCTTGACAGATGTGTGTGAAACATGCTTTGAAAAAACCAACACACCTGCTGGGTCTGCTGCCGGAGTGTATTATAATAATTATTATAATAATACAAACGAAATTGAGCAAATGTCACCCACAACTTATTTGTGACAGCTGTACATGAATGATGGCTTCAGAAGTTTTCTTAGCCTGAAATGTCACTTGGTGCTTTTTTCCATCATCAAATCCTTGCACCTGGCTCCCTCTCCTGGTTTCCAAGAAGCATCAAGGAGGAGAAACGTGTTCATTAATTCGTGTGTGTTGAAATGTGTGCGTTTAATTTTAACCCTAAAAAGTACATTTGTGAAACTTTGACTGTCACTGAATGTTTTTTTGTTTGTTTGTTTCTATACCTTTCGTTCTCCGTTAAAAAAAAAAAAAACCTCCCTAATGAGATGCAAGTCCTTATTGTAAGAACTTTGAATTAAATGTTTTTGTGAGGAAAAAAAGAAAAAAGCTTAAATTAACTTTCCAAGTTTTCCAACAATATCGACAGTTTCCGCCCCCAGATCACTCCTCGGTTCCGATAAGGGCCCCAGCAGAGATAATTGCCCCACTTTTCTCAAAAGAGCAAATGTTTACGGAGATTCTTCTCCATGACAGTAATTTTTGTTCTCATGCATATATACCTCTTGCTCCGACAAAAATTCGCAGCGCAGTCATTAGTCATCTGGCCAGGTCCGAGGAAACCTTTGTTCGGGTCAAATCGCTTCCAGGGTTCACTGGGCGCATGGATTTACACAGCTTATGATGGCAGTGCATAATGCTAATAACTTTATCTAACTGTAATGAAATAGGCTATATCTTAATGTTAAAAAAATATTACTACTTTTTTTTCCCACTGTCTCAAACATTCATAAATGTTACGGTTTTGTTTTTTTTTTTTTTCGTTCGTAAACGTGAAGTTTTAAATGAAGTTAATTATAAGAGATATCTACATAACTTATTTTCAGACCGGCTTCGTTTAGGGCACTAACAACTCCACAAACTAGTTTAAAATCCACGCAGGGCCTCTTGTTTCTTAACAGCCTCTGCTTTTTAAATTGCACTTGAAAAAGCACAAAAGAACAAACTCACAAATTGTTGCTATTATTACCGAGCTGCATTCAAAACGTCCAAGCACATGCTGATGCCTATGTGTTGCGTGCCTGAGTCATTTTACATCCGTGCCGAGGAGAATTGCCCTTTTTTTTTTTTTTTTTTTTTTTGAGTTCTCTGTTGTTTTGCGTCTCTCCCCCCGAATCGAGCCTGAAAAATAAAAGGAGCGTGGCAAATCACAGCTCTATCCCGACATTCACACAGAACCTCAAGGCTGGCACGGCTGCTTAGTTTGCAAAATAAGGGGCAATTATTTAGACTCATTTTCAGTGTGCGTCAAACTGCACCAATACCACGCACTCGTTCAACGATAGCGCTCGTTTCTTTTTTTTCTCTTTTTTTTGCCCCCCTTTAAATGTGAGTTTTCTTGGCCAAACGGCACACAAAACGTGGCTCCTGTTTGCCAGGAATTAGCCGCACTTTCTGTTCTAAGAGCTATTATCTATTTTTTAATTTTGCAAATTCCTAGAAATTTCTTGAAATTGATACTATAATCTAAAATTTAAATATATATATATATATATTTTCATTTCTTAAAATCAACATAAAAAATCATCCCTCTTAATACAGCCATACAAATTGGTGATAGATTTGATTACTGTTATACATAGAAACCCTAAATTGTTTCTTAGTCTGAGCATGTCGGTTTTAGAAATCCCATCTGAACAGTTTGTACATTAAAATGCATCTCTATAAAATCTAACTTCAGGCCTTTCGTGGCTGCTTTCATGACCATTGTTTCATCTCTGACTGCATGTCTTCATTTGTCAGTGTTGTCCATTCAATATTTTTATTTATTTATTTTTTATCAGTCTTTTTTGATTCACACTCAGACTAAATGCCTTTCCTGGCTCTGCAGTGCAGCCACTGATGACCTCTTGGCTCTCATCACTTTTGCATCTTTCCTGCACATAAGCAAATTTAGCTAAAATTGTGACTTAACATTCACGTTTTTATTCTGAAACATGCAAAGTAAGCAGAACAAGTAAAGAAGAACTAAACAAATTCACTCCCTGTTCTTTTGCAGATCTCTGGCAGAATGAACATGAGGCTAGGTTGTGTTTGTCGGCCAGTGTGCTGGCCCTGTGGCAGCTTGCTGGACTCCAGGCACTGTGTCTTTGCCCTCACACTCCTCACACTCCTCATGCAGGTGGTCGTGGAGGCCAACTCATGGTGGTATGTAGACATTTCTTCTTCTACAAGATTTCACTTTGTCTTGATTTGTCAGCGTTGTCCATTCGATCAATTTTTAATCTCAGACTTGTTCACAAAGCTTGAAGGAAAAAAAAAAACACAATGGGAGAAATTTCTGTTTAAAAATTTGATATTTTTCTTTGCTTATTTTGAAAGACAGCTTGAGGTCTGTGTGTGTTTTTATTCTCCAAACTTGCTCAGCTACATTGTACAACATGCTGACTGTTGCACATAGCTTCCCAGAAATACAGTTTCTCTGCAATTTTTAAACATTTTGCCAAACCAGAAAAAATTTATATTACAGACACATTAAATGCTGTCGTTTAGAATTTAGTCCTCGAATGCATATAAATAGGAATATGAAAGTGCACATTTGTTCCAGCTGAGATAAATCGCCACAAGGAACTTTTCATTCACTGGTGTGCTGTTTAACTCTGGTATAAGAAATTTTATTGAGAAAATAAAAATTTTCAAGTAAACACTTTTGAGAACATTTCAGTTTATTACCACTATAACATTGAAATCTGAAATGTAATTTATTAAATAAGACTTTTTTAATGTGGAAAAATAGAAACAGCCAGATCAAAGCAAATGGTTTGCACAATGGGAGCCCGTTATGGAATTAATTTGTTAAAAAAAAACTAAACTAATGGACCCGACTTGGCGAGCAGCAACATTAAAGTTCAAATTCTGAGTCCGATTACAAACCTTGCTGAAGACTCTTTCATTACCAGGGATTTTTTACAGAGTTGACAAGGAGGCAAAAAAAAGTCTGTGTGTCTTTCTGTTTCCTTTTAGAGAGAACTCACAGGTGTGAATGATTTAAGGGTGGATGTTGACAGAGCATCAATCTGCATGTGTGTTTGAGTGCTGAGAAGCTGCAATGATTTTTTTTCTTCCCCCTGCCATGTGCCTTAGTTTGTATGTATCAGTGTATTCATTCCCGTGTTCCCTCGCTGGTGAGTTTCCTCAGTTGATCAGGTTACACTGGGGGCTAATTGTGTCTCTCTGGGTCTCAGAGATGGGCTGCTCTAATTGTCCTGTGGCCTGGAACCAGATGCTCACACTGGTGTTCTTCTTTCTGCTGCTTTACATTGGTCCTTGCTATCTTCTTGGGTACAGTCATCTGTGTTTTCTCTTCTGCACACAGCACTTAATTTAAATGAAACCATCAGATCCGTATTTGGCGCCCCAAAAAATTGTGCAAACCGTGGAGGCTCATAATTTTGGACACAATGAGGATTTGAGAATTATTTAGTTTAAGCTATTTTGATGTCAATAGTATGAAATCTTTTGTTTTTTTTTCTTTCCTGTTAAGTAAAAGCTTTAAAACTAAGACTGAATCAACATTTTCTTGATGCATGATTGGGGATAGGCTTTTAATTTTGTTAGATTCAAAACGAATACATCAGAGGTTTTATCGCAACATTGTTTTCAGTTACATTCTGAATAGTTTTTGCTCTCATTACCCTCTAAATGTTTTCAGAGCATAGTGCTTGAGCTCGCATGAAGAGATTTTACTTGTGGCACTGACTAAATGCCTCTCATTGCAATGATTTACATACCTTTCTCAAAGCCAATCAAGTGAAATCAACTGCTGATCATGGCCTTGGCCTGTGAAACCGCCATACATCTGTTTCAGTGGCACATGAGTGAAAACACTGCACTGTGTGTCCCACCACCCCCAGGTCTTTGGCCATGAACCCTTTACTGATCCCAGAGGCCTACATCATCGGGGCCCAGCCTCTGTGCAGCCAGCTGGTGGGCCTGTCTCAGGGCCAAAAGAAACTGTGCCAGCTTTACCAGGACCACATGCAGTTTATTGGTGAAGGTGCCAAAATGGGGATTCGGGAATGCCAGTACCAGTTCAGGCACCGGCGCTGGAACTGCAGCACGGTGGACAATGCCTCTGTTTTCGGACGCGTCATGCAAATAGGTAAGAAATTCTTCGAATGTTAAACAAAAACGAAAGCGCAGGAAACACATGCATGAAGACAAATTTGACAGATTTAGCTCCAACTGGTGATTTATATACCTAGATCACAGTGCATTGAAAAAAGAAAAACATTCCAACTTTTCAGTATTTTGTCACACCACATCCACAAACTTCTACGTATTTCTTTGTGCTTTTATGTGATAGTCTAAAAGAAACAGTATAATAATTATGAAGCGTAAAGTTAACTGAATTTTATAACATTTTACTGAGAGAAATTGGAAGTGGTGTTCTTTTTTTCCCAGCTCCCTTGGGAACTTTCTGTTTCAAAGCTTTCGAAATAGAAAACTTTGAGCTACAACTAAAGCCTTAAATAGTTGGGAGTGTCTAACTGCAAACTTTAATAAGTAGCTCAACCTCAGCAAATTGTGTTGAGACAAGTAACAATTTTAAAGTTCTGTCAGTCTCAGTTAGATTAAAGTCTGAACTTTGCCTAACATTCTGACACATGAATATTCTTTGATACCAATATCACCACTAGAAAGAGAATATCTGGTTGTGATTTTTATCCCCTCAGCATGATACTGCTGCCACCATAAAGATACGAGAGTTAGTTTTCTAACATGCACACATTGTTTTGCATTCAAGCAAAAAAGTTACAATTTTAAGTCATCTGACCCGAGCACATTTTCTATGTATTTATAGTGTCTCTGACATGGTGTGCACCAGATTGTCAACATAACCTTATTGTTGCCTTCTTTTAAACACACCTTTTTTACAACAACTCTTAAGCAAAGGGCAGATTTTTGGAGTTTACAAATAATATTTGCCTCGTCGACAGATTCTCATTCCTGAGAACAATGTATCTTTGCCCCTCCTCCAGAGTTACAGTGGCGACAGAAATGTTTCAACCTTCGGACATTTTGATGAACTCACTCTCCAGAACTTTTCTAGAACTTTATCCTTGTCCCCTCTGGTGTGTTCCTTTATTTAGAGGACATGTTCACTGATGTCCTTTAAATACACAAATGTCTTTAGAGGACATGACAGAACAACTGTAGTTACATTGAAATTACATCAGACACAGGTGGACTATGTTCAGTGAAATAGGTGACCTTTGATGATATTTGGTTATTATGCATTTAACGAAGGGGCATTCGAGTAAAATATGGTGGAGTGTAAAAGTAGGCCACACTTCGAAGATTTCAATGATTTAAAAAAATAATGCAGAAAACCATGGACATTTTTTTTTAACTTTATTATCATACTCCCTATTGTGTTGGTCTATTGAAAAGATTTTGAGGTTGTAGTGGGACACAATGTTAACATTTTTAAAGAATATTAGCACTACAAGTGATGTGAACTAAGATTTCTCTTTGTTTTTTTTTTGTATGTTCATAAACTGACCTCTTTTTTAGAAGTTTAAATTATATATAGGCCTGTGTGTGAAATGCACGCGGGTGATGATTCTCAGCAGCTGAGTGAAGGGAATAGTTGGTGGGTGAGGTTGCTGGATAAATCACATGTGGCTTTGGCCCACAAAAGCAGCCCCTGACATGGAGCAGGAGGGAGAATCTGCTTTCCTCCTGATGAATGGGAGATGGTCTAATACACACACATATATACACACAGTCTGAATGATTGCTTTCTGCCTGTATTTAAACATAATAGGAGTGCAGTGAGTGTATGCTCCAATATATCCACTTGTCAGAGATTACAGTGTCTGGATGTGTGCTTATAGATATATGAAGAGTGGAATCAAATGGTCTTTGCTAACTTAGTTTTGCTTTCTTTTGCTAAACTTAAACCCATTTGTGGATTAACTGTGTTTGGTTCCGTTTCCCCATCAGTACTTAAATGCTCTCTAAGTGTAATTAACATAAAATATCGGTGTTGTGATCTCTGCAGACTTACAGCAGTCTTGACAGCTTTAGTCTCAAAATTCTACTGGATTGCATTTGGTATTGGTTTTGATCCCAGTCATTGCTTGTGGTGGGAGAATTTATATAATTTATCTTGGGTGTGCGTTTTTCAATGGCCTGAATGTTTTATACAAATTAGACAAGCAAAGAAAAAACTGATTTAGCCACCCAACCACTAAATGTTTTTTGTCCATCTCCTAGTTGTTCATTTCTGCCCCAATATAAAATTTAATGCATTCTTGTAGAAAAGCACACAGGTTGGACTATAAACTACAGAAAACCATAAGTAGTAGGACAGATTAAATTAATAAAACATAATAGCGATGGGAATGTGAAATGAAACTTCAAATCACACACACACACACACACACACACACACACACACACCCCACCCCCACCCCCCCCCCCACACACACACACACACACACACACATATATATATATGAGCCATAGCAAAGTGTCAAATTGCAGACCAGCCCTGGTTTTGAGTTTGCTTTGTGAAATCTTTACAATGTTTCAGATGAGAATATAATATCATAGAAGCACATTCTTCTAACTCAAAACCTTCTATTGTGATTTTGGTTAACACCTAAAACCAGAATTTATTCCATTTGCATTAAATCAATGGAGTACATCCGTTCTTCCACAAGTGAGTCCTAAATGAAAACTTTACACACTGCCAGTCTTTCAGCTCTCGTCCTCCACAGCATTGCTTTGGTCTTGGTCCACTGTGAGCTGGACAAACATGTCCTCCACTTTACAGTTGTCTGTGTGAAAGCTTTAAAACTGAGCATCAGAGTGAGACTGTGTTCAGATTTCCTCTTTTTGGTGGCTTTGCTTGCTTGAGGTTATGGTGCATGAGCAACTCGGAAGATTAGAGTTCGTCTGTCCACAGTTCCACTATTAGGCCAATATCCTCAGGCTGGATTAAAAGTTGTTCACAACTAATTAATCTCCCAGGAACTTTGATCTTATCTGCCTCAAAGCATTCTTTGAGACTTGACTAAGGAGTTCTTCAGTGTAGTTGTTTCCTATCATTTATGATATTTGTGTATTTTTCTTGCTGTATAATTTTTTTTCTTGACCCATCTCCTTTTTTCTCCCATCTGTTGTTGTCATTGTCGTTCAATCCCTATAGATTTAGCCCAGTAAGTATATGAATTGTGCATTTTTATTATTTAGCAGTTCTTGTCTTCTCAGTCTACCAAGCAGCTTTATAATTTGTTTTTCATAAATCTGGTTCTTTTTGAGCTGCTATCTTATCTTAGTTGTCTGTACTTGTCTGTGGCGTTGTTGGAGTGACAGCGTATACACTCCGTGCACATTTCTGTACCTACCTCTTGTCTGTATAGAGGTAATGTTGAGGGCAGAAAACATGGACGTTAATGAACAGTGACTCCAGGATCACTCACTCATGACAGACAAAGCAAAAGAGTCGCTGTCACTTTTAATTTTGCTCAAATGTGAGTGGCTTGTGAAGAGGGATCTCTGTCACTTGAGGGCGCTGTGTTCTCTCTGGCTGCATCCCAATAACAGCAAAGCAGATTGCACTGTTCAACATGCTGTCGGATGATGAGCCTACACTACTTGGCTGGAGTGCTTTATAATCTTAAGTGTACAGTGAATGCTGTCAGATGACATCACATCTCACAACATCACACACACTCTTAAATCAGATTGGCACTGAGATGCCTCTAATATTGCATAGACATCAATGCTTAAACTCCAAAAATGGAGACGAGGCTTTGTATAGTATTCACACCACTTGAACTTTTCAATATTTTTCTAACATTTCAGCCACAAACTTAAATAATTTTCTTGGGATTTTTTAGATCAAACAAAGCAAAGTAACACATAGCTGTGAGGTGGAAGGGACATTACTCACTTAATATTGTGCAGAGCCAGCTTTCACTGTGTTTGCAGAGACATGTCTCTCCTGACAAAAGCACCTTCTGTGTCCTTTTATGGTTTGTGGCAACTTTCAAATTGAACTTTTAATGACATTATTGCAACATGGTTTTCTTCTTGTCATCTTAGTAGGTATGAAATCCACACCTAATAGTTTTTTGTGTACATAGACACCTCTACCTCAGCATTTTTAGTGTCAAAGAAAAAGGGAACTGAATACACATGCACACCAAACCTTTTACGTCCTTATTTGAAAAAGAAAAATGAATGATGTGCTACTTTGTGTTGAGATATCACTTATATACATCATGTTCTTGGGTTGTGACGAAGCATGAAGAAGTTCAGTATGAATATTTACAATGCAATATAATTCAGCCCACAGAGTAGCATTTAGATTTTTCTGTTCCAGCCTCAGTATGTCAAATGTGATATGCTGCTTATGTTTGTGTATTTACAGGCAGTCGGGAAACGGCATTCACCTATGCCATCAGCGCAGCAGGGGTGGTGAACACAGTGAGCCGTGCTTGCAGAGAGGGTGAGCTCAACAGCTGCGGGTGCAGTCGGGCCGCTCGTCCCAAAGATCTACAGAGAGACTGGCTGTGGGGCGGATGTGGAGACAACCTCAACTACGGCTACAGGTTCTCCAGGGAGTTTGTGGATGCACGCGAAAGGGAGAAGAGCTATCCGAAAGGCTCGTACGATAGCGCAAGATTGCAGATGAACCTCCACAATAATGAGGCAGGAAGGAGGGTAAGGCATCCCCTTTTACATTATCCGATAAGAAACAAGTGTAAAAGTTCTCAAAGAGGAAAGCAGACTTTTAGAAGTGAGACAATCCAGGTCCGTAAAACAGATTCTGTATGATCATCTGTTTAACAGCTCTGTCTGTTCACTCCCTCCGCAGCTTTGATGTGGATGGGGAGAGGGAGTCGTTGGAAACAGCTCTGGGGTTTTTCCTTTCCAAACATCTTGAATCAACCTCAAAGAAAGCATCGTGCTAGATTTCTTTGGCCAAACTGTTCCATTTCAAGTTAAACAAATGAGTGGACATTTTATGTTGTGCACCTTTGGAGACTTAGACAAAATAAAGATGCCCTCAGAAGAAAAGTGATCCCTTATGACAACAGCAGCATCTTTGATTGCTGGAGAGACTAGTTACAGTGAAACCCTTTGGGAATGTACAATGCCTTGCAAAAGTATTCATAATTCTTAAATGTTTTGCTTTTTATGTCAAATTACAATTGTTGGGCCTAATGTGATAAACGCAAAAAACATTACTAATATCAAAAGTAATAGAAATGAGACCAAGAGGACAAAGGTTGTGTTTTTTTCACTCCCGTACTCTCTTCCTCCTCTCAATCACACACACACACACCCCCACACACACACACTCACTCACACACACGCACGCACGCACACACACGCACACACGCACGTGCACTAAAAAAGGAAAGAGGCCTGGAAAACATTCATATTCACCACCTGTGGAGCGCTTTCTGGAACCACAATTTTTTGCTGGGAGGAAAACTCGTATCTCTGAGCAGCTTACCTGTCCTGATGCCTGTCTTTGGGGTGTTTGCTGTTGTGCCATACTCAATTTTTGGATAGTACATTAAGATGTTCATAGGTTAGGATATAAGCAACCGTACCAATCAATGTCTGTACAACTCCCACAGTCCTAGAATGTGCGGTCGCTGCGGGGTCACACTGATCCCGCTGCACTGACCCTGTGTGCAGGTTTTTGTTTTTCTCGTGATTCTGGGAAGTGACAAGCTGAGAGGACACCCCATCAGCCTGTCAGTTGTCCAATCATGACACCCGCCTTGCTCTTCCTGAGCGTAGAGCTAGAGGGTTAAAATGGGTCAGTCTTAAAATAGGAAACCACATGTCTCAATGAGATTTACCAGATTAGGCAAAGTTGAAATAAAAACAGAGTTTAAAGTTCTAAACAACTTCATCCCTGTCTGTTTCCTTTGGTCTTAACAATGCTGTGTTTGTGCTCTCATTTTCCTTAAGAAATCACTTAGACACAGTACAGCTGTATTTGAAATGATTTATACAAATTAGCTAAATAATTGAAGGTTGTTGGTTGCAATGGATTTTATTGAGTATTGGAGAAAAAGAGAGCTTACGCATGTTATAATTTTGTCAAAAATTACATCATCCTTTTTCACTTCCATTTCACAAAAAGGCACTAAAAAACTTTTTAAAAATACTACATTTTGTGGTTTCAGCAAGACAGAACATTCTCAAGTGGTATGCACTTTTCCAATACACTCGGAATTTGTTTTCTGCAGGGATAGCAGCAGGGATTTTCAAATTGGAATGACCACTTTTAGCCACTTTTTCATTATTATACTTTTTTTTTTCTCTCTAAGGCTGTGTCAAACCTTGCCGATGTGTCGTGCAAGTGCCATGGCGTGTCTGGATCCTGCAGCTTAAAGACCTGCTGGTTGCAGCTGGCAGACTTCCGTAAGGTGGGCGACGCTCTGAAGGAGAAGTATGACAGCGCAGCAGTCATGAAGCTTAACTCGCGTGGCAAACTGGTGCCAATGCACAGCAATTTCAACGCTCCGACAAGCAACGATCTGGTGCACATCGACCAGAGTCCAGACTACTGCTTAAAGAACCATAGCACTGGCTCCATAGGCACGGTGGGGCGCCTTTGCAACAAGACGTCAGAGGGCATGGATGGATGCGAGCTGATGTGCTGCGGCCGAGGTTACGACCAATTCAAGGCACACCTTGTGGAGCGATGCAACTGCAAGTTCCACTGGTGCTGCTATGTGAAGTGCAGGGTCTGCACCAAAGTTGTAGACCAATTCGTCTGCAAGTGATGAAAGACCCACTGCCTTGCGGATGATGGTTGCACATCTGTGTGAATTCATGAGCTGTGGGACACAGGATGGAAGAAAGAAACTATATAAATTATATTTATAGAGTTAAACAATTATGTCCTTTGCAAAAAAAAAAGAAAGACCCTCTTAACTTTTCCTTTTTAGAAACCAAGAGTATTGTTAAATATTTATTTCCAGATTGCTGTTTTTATTCTAGCCCAGTCAGCTACTTTTTTTTTGTTAGTCTGAGTTCTCTAAAACTCTCAACCTCTTCATCCCTTCCTCCACAGAACAATTTTTTTCACTAGGAAACTTAATTCCTCTTTGCAAGTGGCTCACACTAATGGATGCTATCTGCAAAGCTAAGCTTGTGCCTTCCACTTTCTAACAAAAGTGGTGTTTGATATTGTCTCATAATTGGCTCAGAAATTCTGATGAATTGATCATGAATTGGTGGGTTAAGGGGCTTGTGTGCCATGTGTGGATCTTCACAGTGCCAGTTCCAAGCCAGAAATCGCAATCCTTTACTTGTCACTTCTTTACACATGAGGAGGAATAATTGAGATGTTTGCTTTTTGTGAATCCTTGCATTATGAGGGAGAGCTACAGTGAAACGGCTATTTCTGTTTTATTTTTTTGTGGGGACACTGGGCCTTGTATTAAGCTGTCCCAGAAGCCTTAACGTTCCCCAGGTGCTGCAAATGGCCCTTTGTTCATTATGCACTTTGATGCACAGACCTTAACCTGTCTGTATGTGTCTCTTCAACTGTTATCCATATAGCCATATCATAGTCTCCTTTTTTTCCATATTAATTCAGATTATCCATTTAACATTATTTTACAGTACTTATCATGGTTCATATATATGGGCAACGTCATGGTGAACAATGGTGAAATATTAAGCGCTCTCTGTAAATAGTATAGTGTAGTCTATCCAGCCAATCAATAAACTGTATTTATTTTTTTAACCCAATCTTCCTTTCAGCTTAAAGAAAGAAAAGTATTGTTTCTATAAACAGATAATTAAGGTCAGTTTTAAGGTCACTTTTCCAAATTGTTGTTTCTCACTGACACATGGCGCTTCACTGTTTTTGTAAAGGGAAATGCACCTTATTGTTCAGAAACAAAACCTTTCACTCACGTTTGGCATTACTGCTACACCATTTTTTTCCCACAAATGTTCAGATTTTTACTTTACCACAGATTTCCACCATGCTATAGTCCCTGTAAGGAGTTTTATTAGGCATATTCCAACAACCCAACAATGTGTATTTATAAGCTTCTTTTAATGAACTTGAGGTTTGTTGAACTTAATGTGTTGTAGTTGCTATTTTGTTACTTTTTACAAATTGGCTCAATGCTCTTCTTTCAATAAATATGAAATGTAAAACAAGCAGAGATGTATTTAATCCCATTATTTCTTTAAGTTGTCTCTGCCTTTTCAGTTTTCAGTTTGGAGCATTTTCTTTTTATTAAGGAAGAAAATGATCAGCCTTTAAGTTAGGTTGAATTTTTTTGTGACATTCAAACACAAAAATGTCACAATTTTTTTTTATTGCAACATTTTTGTCACAAACGTTTAATGCATGGCATTGAAACCTTTTTACCTAGAAAAGGATGGCACACATGGATTCAACTCATCTGACCTAGTACTTTGTAGAGCCTATTTCTGGAGCTCTGGCTATATGTTTTTGGGGAAATCTCTCCAGCAACTTTGCACATATAGAGACTGACATGTTTACAGAGTGTTCTTTGCAAAATAGATCAAAGAACATGAGTGAACAGCATTGGATTATTAATCATATTAGTGTCTGGATAATGTCTCATTTCTCCGGGTGTGGCAGTGTGATTGACTGATGACCTGTCTTGGCCGAACTCTGCCTCTGTCCCACTGACCACAGGAGATAGAAAATTCCTAACCGGCACTCTGATCTGACATTGATAAAACAGATACAGGCAATGGGTGGATGACCTTTCTATTCCTTTTAGTTGAATACAAAGCTGGTGTAACAAAAAAATTCCAATAAACTTAAATTTAGGCTCTGTATAATCGCTAACAAATCTGATATCAGCCCTAGTATCATCACAATAGATTTTAATAATTTGACCCCTTTGTGGAAAAAGATGCAATCTTTGAGGAGTAAGCTCTTTTTAAATAGGTAATTGGATCCTATAAAAATGTGAAATGGTTTTTAAATTTTTTAAAGGGACTGGAGAATTCAAAACTGTTTACTTCTGTAGCGAGTCTCAAAATAATACCAATTTAAATGGGCTTTCCAGCAGTTCATTGTCTTACTCCAAGACGTTACTTCTCAAAGCCCAGCATTTGTCATTATCCTGTGACTGATTTGGTGTAAGTTGATCTTACTTAAATGTGCTTAACCATTGCTAATAAAAAAAATCTTGTTTTTCTCTTAAATCTGAAACTATGCTGAAGTTTCTCTGCTGTGAGTTAAGAGTCTCTTGACTCACAACATTTTGTGACAGACAGTAAAGCTCACGGTGAATGATAGTGGTTTTAGGTGTGGAGCACACAAAGACAAGAAGATTTTTCCTTGAGAGATCTTGGAAGATGGCCTGAAGATTAGATGTCTCCCAAGGGATGATAGGGATTGTGTTATAAGTGCTCCTCAACAATCCAGTGACAGTGGATGGGTTAATGGGATGATTAATTACACTGTGTCAGAAGAGTAAGAAGAGGGGGATTTTCCATACAGAAAAATTGGGATGTCTGGATGACTGGGCCTTGTCAGAGGCAGCTGGTGATGTACAGACACAGAAAGCTTGAGAGAAGATCGGGCCCCAAGCAAGAGAGGGGGGCAATGAGCTGAAGGTAGAAAGTGCTTTGAGTGAAAATTGGAGCTTATAGACTTCCATTTCAGTATAAACACTTCTGACATTGACTAATATTTACACATGTAAAGTGATACAGACTTCAGGAGCACATCCCATATGTGAACCTTTCAGTTGGTTCTGTGTTCGACTTTAGAGATGTATTTGCACCGCTTTCTGTGAACTTTGTAAAATGTTTTGGTTCTGATCGACTCCAAACTAAAAAGCGAAAATGAAGGCGACTGAAGGAATAAACTGATTTTAAAAAAGCAGTGGACCTGGCAAGGGATCCTTGATACTTTAATCTTCGGTCAACTTCTGAGTTTTAGCTATGAAATCATCATGCTATATTTTTGGATTGCCTTTCTTCATGCATGCTAGGTCATGCCTGATATGGGACCTCACTCAAGAGTGACTTAATACCAGCAACCCACTACTTTGGCTGTAGCATAGTGTCTGAGTCAGAAACTCAGATGCATAGCTGGTTGATATAACGGGGGGAAGAAGGGTTGAAAACCACAGGTACGATGGAAGACACATAAGAGGCAGTGATACTTTCAAATAATATGCTTAGATATTTGATTTTGACAATTCTTTCTCAACCAAACCCCTTTTCTGTAAACTTGATAACTGATGTGGGTGACTGTATCAATATTTATACATCTGTCCTCCATTACTTTCTTTTGGCTGTGTTAAGATAGTAATGAGGTATGATTTAGAGTGCACTTTCTAGCCTCAAATATTGCCCTCAAAAGACATTTGTATGCATCGCACTTTATGATAAATTAAGTGTGATGCGCTATAGTCTCAAATATAGTGTATATTTGAGACTATAGCCTCAAATGTAGTCCTCAAACTTTTTCATAAGACATTGGCTGATCAAGGCGGAGCTGCAAAGAAAAAACTATCAAAATGATCCAGTGAGAGTTTCCTCCTGATCTTGTAAACATTACAGAGTCTTATAGTAATGTGACATAGGCTAAAACCCTGTATTTATGTATTAAGACATATGTAAATTAGAAAAAAAATAAACATAATTCAGTCAGTCAATTAATCAATTAAATCAACATTTCTCTTCACTTTTTGTACACAACAAATGTAACACAAAATGATGTACAGAACAAAGCAAAAATAAATTAGTGTCCAGGGTAATGCCCTTGACTTGACAACCAGACACTGTGGTGACATGCCCTCATTCAGTGCATTTAGGCTAAAATATCATACCAAAGTTGATCAAACTGATCTTTCATGGCACCATAAACTCTATAAATGCACACTTGTAATTACAGTCAATTTAATTCAATGTAAAAGTCAGACAGCATTCAATTTAATTGAATGTAATTACAAATGTGATGTCAGACAAACAGACATCATTTTGTCTGAGATAAGGTCATAGGTGGCAACATATCCAGGAAGGGACAATAGACAACCATCTTCTCAATAATTCTAGGGCATCCCATAAGATCCCAAGACAGGATATGTCATCCCTCCAGTATGATCTGGGTCTTCCTCAGGATCTCGTTTCAGTAGAACATGCCTTAAAAACTTGAATTTCCCCAAACCCAAAGTGGTCATTGTTATTCCAATGAAATATTCATATTTGAATTGTTTCTTATGATGAAAAATTAGAAAAATCAGCAGCAACTTATGCAGAATGGATTCAAACTTAAGGAACCCACAAGTTGTGTATATTTTGACTGAAATTCAAGATTGCATCTGAATGTATGTTTGCTTTTGTTTATGCACATAGATGATTTTGACTGTGCAAGGGGAAAAGATTAAGGCTCCCTAAATTAATCCATTTGCTTTGCCATATTCTGCATTTGCATTTTTTATTGGTTCCCCAGGAGTTACTCATGACAAGTTGTGTTTGTCTAAAAGAGAGCAGCTGGTTACAATAATACAATCTCGACTAAAGATCTGTAGCTCTCTGCTTTGACAATTCAAAAATAGCTCATTTTCTCCACTCTTTACCTCAAATGGAAAATGCTGAACTTCTGTACCACAATGTCCTGGATTGAACATAGATGTAATGCATTCATACCCTATTTTACCAAACGTGAAACAAAACCCCAGTTTGTACTACGGTCTATCCCCCTTTTTTCTACCATGCTACATAAGGGCCTGAGGAATGCTGGGGTAAGGTATATTTGACTGATATATCCCACTGCAGGCCACTACATGACATTATGACTCCAATAAAACTGCCAATGCAGAAAACACCTACTGCAATGCTACTTTGAACAAAAAAAAAAAAAAAAAGAAAAGAAAAAAGAATCACATAATTTTTCTAACACATATTTAAATTTCCCAGTGTATTCAAAATGTGCCGTCATAGCAGCAGTCTGGCAAAGCTCACCTTCCTAAGCCAAAGCAGAGCATGTTCCACTTCCCGGCATTCATTTTAAAACAATAGGTGGGCCAAAAATCCAGCGCTCCACAGGGCTGCATTTAGGGCTATTTGAGATTGCGGTTGTGCGTTGTAGAGAGAGAACCAAGGCAGGGCACATCACGATGTCGTCACAAAGAGTCTGGACTGGATCAGAGAACCGAGCTGGGGCCACAGAATTTCCGTTTCTGTTAGCGTCAGTTCTATCTCAGGGTCCTCCCCCAGAAACCACACCCACCACAAGTTGTTGCAACGGGATCAGAGCTCTTCCACAAATAGAAGGGTTATACATAGAGGTCAAAATTTCTCAACGTGCCTGGCTGAGGTTTGTGTGTGTACATAGAGTGACAGGATCTGAGTGAGGAAATCATTACCGGCTCCAAAATAAGTAATCTCATTTTCACTTTTTTTTTTTCACCTCGTCAGAGTTTCAGTTTATCTTGGTTTAAATTGTTATCATCGCTCTTCAAATAGGTTGTAATCTCATGCCCCACTGGGAGCGCTGCAAAGGTTTTTAGATTGAAACACAGTCGCAAGCAAGAATAATAGAGGACATCTGAAGAAATAACCTGAATTGACAAGTAAATCTCGAAGATTAACTACTCACGAATCGTGCAGTACAGTACAGCACATCTTGATATCATCACTCACAGATGTGAAAATATTCACCTTCATGTGACGGTTAATTAATACAGTATGTTATTTGGTCAGCGTGGCCAGTTTGAAGTTTTTTGGGGGAAGCTTTCTCTATTTATTTCACAAAACATACTTAAGAAAGATAAACATTTGTCATTCAGTTTTAATCTCGTACATATGGACTTAAGCATTTGTGTCACTGCTCTACTCAGACATCTACCTTGTTGTCGAGTTGATGCAGGTTGCATACTCTCCCTGCTGTCATCGCATGCTTGCATTATGGCTTCCTCTCGGCGTGCATGCGATTCATCACGCGATAAGACATGTTTACAAGCAGCCCAGGACAGGCGTACTTGTTTATGGTTTGCCGTTAGGCCTTCTCCTTCTTTCTCTGGCTCTAGTCATGTTGTGTGTGTGTCTCCAAGTACTCCCCCTCAGGGAGCTAAATACCAGGTCAGAACCAGTAGCTGAATGATCCTGTCAGCCTGCTAAGCCTTCATGGATTACACTAAAGTGGGCTCCTGAGGTTACTCCGA